GGGGGAAAGCTGCACATGCTCAGTTTAGTGTGTATTGCTAGAGAGTTTGTTTTCTTGGGATAGTGCATGTGATCAGTACAGGGCCAATCAGCACTGTCCAGACAGAGGTTAGGGGTCCTGTATCCTCCTACAGCAGAATGAAAACTGCTCCCACAAGCTGTAACCAGTGCTCTGCTGAACACTGATAGAATTCACAATACTGCTTTAACTTCTGATGAGAAAAGGTATTTCACCGTTTATATTTACTATAATAATTGCATTTCAATGTTGTGTGTACTGTGGGAGACCAGATATAGTGAATGCAGGGTCCTGGGTTTAGTAACACTTTAAATGAATGGGATGCAGGTTGGGCACAGTTGATGTAGTAAAATTTGTGTTCTTTCACTTCAGGTTTTACTTCCTCAACTTTAACTGATTCCCCTGAGTTGTTATTATGTTTCCTATGTAATTTCCTACATCAAGGCTTTTTCTAATGCTGACTTTCCTTGTATACAAATTGCTTGCAGGTGTTCCCTTCTTTACAAGATTATATGTTGCCCTGATGTGTTTATCGTATTTTGTTGTCAAACAGTTTATGAAAGGCCTCAAGACATACATCAAGAAAAATATCAAATACACAATTGATATTTGCCGTCCCGTCTCTTTTTGGATGCTTTGTGACCTGATTGTTGTTACTAATTCTGTTTGTTCTACTCCATACAAGGTGACATTTTCTTTAAAGCCTTTCGACTGTTAGTCAGTCTATAAATCTTGCTTTTGTTTTTCTGGGTTGCTACAAGATTACATTCTCATAAATTCTTCTATTTACATATTTTTGAAACATTTAAAGACTGATCAACTAGGGAAAGGAAGGTGGTTGTTGCTGTGAACAACAAACTTTGCTGCCTTGCTATGCTAGTTTATCAATTTCTTTTATCAGACCCTCCTCTGTTTCTTTTATAGTACATGCATGACTGAATGACAGCGTTGTTTAGTACTGTGACTGTGATCTCTGTGATTGGTCACAGCGATCACATGGTACCAGGGCAGCTCACAGCTGCCCAGTACAACAATCAGTGATCTGATGTGTCCAGTGGGCACAGTGGTCACAGATCGTGTCTCTGCATGATCTAGACTAGAGAGAGCACATGGGAGGACATATGGGTACGCCCTCCCATCCGAGGGTATATGCACAGAGGCCAGACTGGAGGCTGTTAAAACAATGTGTTTCTACCTTGGGCCTTCTTGGCTTTCAAATAAGTTTGCACTTAGGAGCATGTTACACCCATATTTATGGTGCAACACGTAATGTGATCCTATACACCCACCTCCCGCTGCCAGTGCTCCCCTCTTTGTGACAGCAGGTTGGGGATCTTCTCCCTGCACCCACTGTCACAATTTTGAAGCACCCGCATGATTGTGTCATTCATTCACAGGTTCCTGTGAATAGACTACAGGTACCCTCATTCATTGCGGGTGATGGCTTGTAATTCTCAATGAACTGTGAGGGCACTGGTGACCATTGATTCTTCCTGTCGTTCAGTAATTGCCTACCTGTACAAAAAAGTACTCTATGGGCAGACAGCTTCCTGAAAGTCTGCAGGATCCTGACATGGCATCCATGTTCTGCTGGTCACAGGTGCAATGCTTTGCAAGCTCTATTGTAAAAAAATAACAAATCTAATTTTTTTTCACATGCAAAAAGATATGCATTTTTTCATCAAAAAGGGGATTTAGCCTTTAAAATTGTCCTCCCATTCATTCAAAATTAGGGCTGCAGAAGAGACAGGAAGGCTGGGCCTAGGTTAAGATTGTATAAAACGTCTATCACAACCTGATTTTACTGCCTTAAAAATGCAGTTTCCTCCCTTCCTTCTTGTGGCAAGTGTTGTTTTCTCACCACAATTTAACCACTTGCCTACAGGGCACTTATACGCCCTTCCTGCCCAGGCCAATTTCCAGCTTTCAGCGCTGTTGCACTTTGAATGACAATTGCGTGGTCATGCAACACTGTACCCATATGAAGTTTTTATCATTTTTTTGTGACAGATAGAGCTTTCTTTTGGTGGTATTTAATCTCCTCTGGGTTTTTTATTTTTTCTTAAACAAACCAAAAACCACAGAACATTTTGAAAAAAAAAGTTTTTTTCTTAGTTTTTGTGATACAATTTTGTAAATAAGTGATTTTTCTCCTTCACTGATGTGCACTAATGAGGCTACAGTGATGGGCACTAATAGGCTGCACTGATGGACACTGATAGGTGGCACTGATGTGCACTGATGAGGAGGCACTGGTAGGTGGCACTGATGGGCATTGACAGGCATCACTGATGGGCACTGAAAGGCAGCACTCATATATGGCATTGATAGGCAGCACTGACTGGTACTGTTAGGCGGCACTGGAGGGCACTGATAGGTGGCACTGATGCACACTGATAGGCGGCACTGACTGGCACTGATAGGTGGCACTGACTGGCACTGACGAGTGACACTGAAAGGCAGCTCAGATGGGCACTGATATGTGGCATTGATGTGGCACTGATGGGCACTGGCAGGTGGCATGGATGAGCACTGACAGCTGGCACTGATGGACACTGATAGGTGGCACTGCTGGGGCTACACAGATCATCATGGCACACTGATCATCAGTGCCCTATTACCTACCGGCTCTCCTCTCCCCTCGAGCTGTCAGCATTACAGCTCGTGAGCAGAGAAATGCCGATAACCGGCATTTCCCTATTTACATGCGATCAGCTGTGATTGGACACAGCTGATCACATGACCGAGCCGACATCTTCGGCTCTTTCCGTTGATTGGCGATCCGCTGTGTCCGAGGAGCACTCCCGGAGCAGCGCATGCAGTTAGAGCGGGAGGACGTCCGTCTTGCGCGCATCATTGTACTATATGGCAGGCGGGCGGGAGGCGGTTAAATTTGATGTATAAAATCTGAGAGATGAAGTTTCTGCCATATGTGGGTGGTTGTTCCTTCAGACACTTCAAGCTAGAAGGTTGATTTAGAAATTAATTGGTGCATCTGTCAGCAACCAGGAATTACATCTTTAACACCTTCCTGCCCAGCCTATAGCAGGTTGAAGATAATAGAAACTTTTGAAGAAAAAAAATACAAATTCAATTATTATTTTCACCAAAGAAATTTAGCAGAATACATTTTAACCTAAATGTATGAAGAAATGTTATTTATTTGCAAAATTTTATAACAGAAACGAAGAAAAGTGCTTTTCAAAAGTTTCAGGTGTTTTTTGTTTTATTTAGCAAAAATAAAAACTCCAGTGATGATTAAATACCATCAAAAAAAGCTCTTTTTGTGTGAAAAAATGATAAAAATTTCATACAGGTACAGTGTTGCATGACCGTGCAAAATTGTCATTCAAAGTGCGACAGCGCTGAAAGCTGAAAATTGGCCTGGGCAGGAAGGGGGTGTAAGTGCCCTGTATTGAAGTGGCTAATTGGTTCTAAATTCACAAGGTGCACCTTCACCTATTAGGGCTCGTTCACACTTGACTAATTTCTAACTCTTGCCAAAAGCCCCTATAGCGTTTGACAGGCATTAGACAGGTGTTTGGGAAGCGTTTTTAACGTTCCCCAAATGCTCCCCAAACGCCCTATGCATGTTTTTGAGGTGTTTGATAGGCTTTTGCCAAGCGTTAAAACCGCATCACAAATGCCTATAATGAAGTTTAATGGTATTAACGATCCGCAACCTCCTCGCAATCGCACTGCAAACGCCTGCCAGGCGTTTGAGGAGCATCACAATAGACTTGAATGAGAGGCTTCAACTCCTCCTGACTCGACATGAGGAGTCAATTTTGATGCGATGCGACTAACCCTTCAGTGTGAACAGCACTGTGTGCTGCCATGTGTAGAATTTCCATATGCATTTGAGGAGCATTAAAAACGCTTCCAAAACGACTGTCTAATGCCTGCTAACAAAGCTAATGTGAACTTAGCCAGCCTTAAGGTAAAAAAAAACTCGCCTCCCAAAAATTATAAACCACTAATGGTGGTTGTTGATGTATGTGGCGACTTCCCAAAAGCTAGTGGTTTAAAATTTGTGGGTCATGAGTTATTTTACCTTAATAGATGAATGACACTAGGTGTTTACTTTGCACATTTCAAAGACTTTTGCACAGCACATTGCACTTTGGTGGAGTTTAAGTGGTTGGATTTTTGATACTTAATTGTGCACTAACATTTTGGACACACATATATATTGAGACATATATATATATATTTCCTGGACCTCCTCATGTCAGCCTACCACGGATCAGCTCTGCCCCTTTGACCACTCCATGACAACCTCTTTTCTAACCCATATAGTGCGGCTGTCTACCTCAGTCCATGTTCTTTTTCGTCCTCGCTCCACACAGCTCAACTATAATTTTCTTAGTTAAAAAAAGAAAGATATTTTAATTTTACATTTTTCCTTTTATTGTCCTACTTAGGTTCAGCCTCTCCTGGGTCAGAAGACCCCTTGTATGGGCTGTAAATCTCCCATGTAGTGGCTTCTCTTGGTGCAGGGACAGGATTATGCAATATAAAGTACTGCTCTTTACGGCTTCATTGTGTCATGAAACTCTTGCTGATTAACCACAAGCCTACATGGCACTTATACCCCCTTCCTGCCCAGGCCAGGTATTGGTGGTATTTAATCACCTCAGGGTTTTTTATTTTTTCTTAAACAAACCAAAAACCACTGAAAATTTTGAAAAAAAAAATGTTTTTCTTAGTTTTTGTTATAACATTTTGTAAATAAGTGATTTTTCTCCTTCACTGATGTGCGCTAATGAGGCTGCAGTGATGGGCACTGATAGGCTGCACTGATGGACTCTGATGAGGAGGCACTGGTAGGTGGCACTGATGGGCATTGACAAGCATCACTGATGGGCACTGAAAAGCAGCACTGATATATGGCACTGATAGGTGGCACTGATAGGCGGCACTGATAGGTAGCACTGATAGGTGGCACTGATAGGCGGCACTGACTGGCACTGTTAGGCGGCACTGACGGGCACTGATAGGCGGCACTGACTGGCACTGATAGGTGTCACTGACTGGCACTGATAGGTGGCACTGATTGGCATTGATGGGTGGCACTGACTGGCACTGATGGGTGACACTGAAAGGCAGCTCAGATGGGCACGGATATGTGGCATTGATGTGGCACTAATGGGCACTGGCACGTGGCACTGATGAGCACTGACAGCTGGCACTGATGGACACTGACAGGTGGCACTGCTGGGGCTACACTGATCATCAGGGCACACTAATCATCAGTGCTCTGATGATCAGTGTACATGTCCCCTCCGCAGAATGCCGATTACTGGCTCTCTTCTCCTCTCGAGCTGTCAGCGTGACAGCTCGAGAGGAGAGAAATGCCAATAACAACCATTTCCCTGTTTACATGTGATCAGCTGTGATTGGACACAGCTGATCACATGACCAAGCCGACATCTTTGGCTCTTTCCGTTGATCAGTGATCCACTGTGTCCGTGGGACACAGCGCACCGCCTATCACCTCACTGCGCGTTCCAGTAGCCGCACATGCGCGGTTAGAATGGGGGGACGTCATATGACGTCCTCCCAGAATGAGAGAACCACCTTGCGTCCATCATATTACTATATGGCGGGCGGGAGGTGGTTATGGGTTAAAATATACTCCCCAGGCTGCCTGGAGCTACCCACTATTCGGTCTTACCAGAGAAGGCTGGCTGAGCCCTGTAGTGCCTCTGCCATGGTGCCGCTTGTGGCTCTAGGCCAGGGGGTCTCCAAACCTTCTAAACAAAGGGCCTGTTTACTGTCCTTCAGACCTTAGGAGGGCCGGAGAGGCCAGTAGAAGAAGAAAATGTCCCAGCGTCAGCAGGATTAAAAAAATTACATAGTGCTTGTAATCAGTGGAAGGAGAGATAGTGTCCAGTCATTGATATTAGTTGGAGGAATAGTGCCCCATCATTTATTAGTAAGATGAATAGTGCCCCATCATTGGTGACAGTGGGAGGACTAGTGCCCCATCATTGGTATTAGTAAAATGAATAGTGCCCCATCATTGGTGACAGTGGGAGGAATAGTGCCCCATCACTGGTGTCAGGGGGAGGAATAGTGCCCCATCATTGGTATTAGTAAAATGAATAGTGCCCCATCATTGGTGTCAGGGGGAGGAATAGTGCCCCAACATTGGTATTAGTAAAATAAATAGTGCCCCATCATTGGTGGCAGTGGGAGGAATAGTGTCCCATCATTGGTATTAGTAAAATGAATAGTGCCCCATCATTGGTGACAGTGGGAGGAATAGTGCCCCATCATTGGTGACAGTGGGAGGAATAGTGTCCCATCATTGGTATTAGTAAAATGAATAGTGCCCCATCATTGGTGACAGTGGGAGGAATAGTGCCCCATCATTGGTGACAGTGGGAGGAATAGTGCCCCATCATTGGTGTCAGGGGGAGGCATATTAAGGGAGAATGTCACCAGCACACCAAGGATCACCAATATGGATCCAAAAGTTTTAATGAACAATCGAAAATAAATAAACCATAAAACAATAATCAGATGTGCATAAACTGCATTCCCGGGAATAGAGACATTGTGGTCACATGTGTATCCTAGTACTCCCCGGATTGTAAAAAAGTGTCAGCTGAAAGCAGCTCTGTATTATGGTAACAACGATCAGCAGCATATATGTCCCTGACAGAAGATAAAAGCTGTTGTCTAGAGATGTGGGGGGATATCTTTGATTGCCAAGTGAGCTGCAATGAGGAAAAACCTACAGTGGCCCTATTGGTGCAGTGGCCGACAGTGTCATGGTGACACATGTCACCTGCACATGCACCATGCGAGTTTACTATTCACGCATGCTCTCAAAATCATTCCTGCACCGGCTACCATTATAATGGAAACCCATGACGTTGGTGCTGGGCAGGACGAGGAGGAGGCAGGTTTCCATAATATAGAGCTGCTTTCAGCTGACACTTTATTACAATCCAGGGAGTACTGTGATACACATGTGACCACAATGTCTCTATCCCTGGGAATGCAGTTTATGCACATCTGATTATTTTTTTATGGTTTATTTATTTTTGCAGTTTATAACGTTTCTGTTTACATTGATTTGAATGCATTTTTGGAGGGAACATGACATCATGGAGCAGGGCCAGGCTCATTTCACTTCACTCTGATTGGTGAATGGTTTTGTTAAATAGTTCTCCAGTTTCTGTCACAATTTGTCACATGCCTGATGAAGGGGTCCTGCGAGACTCCGAAACATTGCCTTGCTGTAACTATGTGAGAGTTTCATTAAAACTTTTGGACCCATATTGGTGTTTCTCGGTGTGCTGGTGACATTCTCGCTTGCTGATTCTGTTCCAGCCGACAGTCACTGCAGCACCCACTTATGCACACAGCCATTTTTAACGCAGGAACATGTGTGTTTGGATTGTACACTTGCAGGGGAAGGAATAATGTCCTATCATTGGTGTTAGTGGAAGGAATAGTTCCCCATCATTGGTGTCATTGGGAAGACTAGTGTCCCATCATTGGTGTCGGGGGGGATAATGCCCCATCATTGGTGTCAGGGGGAGGAATAGTGCCCCACCATTGGTGTCAGTAGGATGAATATCGCCCCATCATTGGTATCAGAGAAAGGAATAGTACCCATCCTTGGTATTAGTTGGAGGAATAGTGCCCTATCATTGGTATTAGTGAGAGGAATAGTGCCCCATCTTTGGTAGTAGTTGGAGAAATAATACTTAATTGTTTATATCAGTGGGAGGAATTGTGCCCCATCATTGGTGTCAGTGGAAGGAAGATGCCCCATAGTTGGTGCCAGTGGAAGAAATGGTGGCTCCTTGTTGGTATCAGTGGAAGGAATAGTACTCCAACAGCTGGATAGAGGCAAGCAAAGGGCCGCTTTCGGCCCATAGGCCACAGTTTGGAGACCACTGCTCTAAACAGAGAGCAGAGTGGGCTGGTCTTGGGGCGGTGATAGGGTGTCACGTGATCAGTGGAGGCTAGGCTGTGAAGGGCCAGCTTCTTTTGGCTGCCATGAAGTTGTCGGAACGCTGTTCAGATTAGAGGTAGCCACTAAGTGGGCGGGCTCCTGGCTCATCTAAAGATTGTGCTCTCCTTGCTGTCTTCTGTTGCAGCTGGTCCCGTTCATCTGCTCCAAGCCTCCTGTCAAGTTGTTCTGCTCTGGTAAGCTCATGCCTGGCTTTATGCTTTACAAATATTTTCTGCTGACCTGAGATTGAGACTGAAGATTCCTGTCATTTTTGTAGTCAAACCTGCAGGTCCTGTTAATCACTCGCATCAGTTTCAAGCAAAGAAACATTTACATGGAAAGGTTCAATTTTTTTTTTTTTTTTTAAAGAGTGCAAACTTCTGTCTTTTTTCACACATGGAAGAGCCCAGAGTGGGAAATATGTCCGCAGAAGGGTCCAAACTCACCGCTCCAGCTCAGCAAGGCTGTTATGAGGCATGGGAAGCCAGATTGGCAGAACGGGCCAAAGCAGAATAAACTTCCGTCAAGACAGCGTTTCAGATAGCCTCTTCCTCACACAAGTCACTCTGACCCAGGCCAGGTGAAGGAGTGACATAGAAAAGCCTCAAGGAAGAGTAAATCAGCACACAGACACAGAAGTAGATCTTCGTCCTCCTCCAGAACCTTGTTGCCTACCCAGGAGGAAGAGTCGGTCTGTTGGGTCTGTTCGGCTCAGGCGTTGCCTGGAAAGTTATGATGTGCATCTTGCCTCAAGGAGGTTGCTTGTGATAGCGCGGCAGAAGCTCAATAAATAAAGTCTTGCATCATGAGCGCAGTGAAAGAAGGAAAGAGGAGTGTATTAAGGAAGGCCTCTCGCTATCATTATGTGGTTCAATCCTCCTCAGGGGATTCAGAACCTGAAGTTTTCGTCAAGATTGGCACAATTAGTGACACTCAATCCCACTCCTCAGATTCAGATGAGAAGCAAGGGCCCCATTCTTTTGACTTTACATTAGTTCATACTTTGGTGGAGGCAGTGAAGGAGGCTCTGAGATGGCAGGATGAGAGCTTGCCCCCTAAGAAGCAATACAAATATTACCCGGATTTGAAGAAAACCATCCCATCCTTTCCTCTCATTTACGAGATTCAGGAGTTGATCAAGGATTCGGTATCGTTCAGAGATCCCATTGACCAAAGAATAGATACGGATCTAAAAAGGATGTATTTGGTAGCTGGGGCAACCTGTAGGCCAGTTATAGCCTTAACACCTGTTTTGGCAGCCCTGAGAGTGTGGGTGGCGGAGGTAGAAACCGGCTCTTCGAGAGAGGTTGGTGGAAGTAGACGTTCGTCTCCACTCCAGTACGTCAAGTTGGCAGTAGACTTTCTTGCAGAGGCCACTGTGGATCAGGTCAGACTGACGGCAAAACTTATGGGTCACTCAGTGGTAGCCCGAAGAGCCTTGTGGTTTAAAACATTGGTCAGCGGACAGCGCTTCCAAGCACAGCCTCTGTTCTGTTCCATTTGATGGAAAGCTTCTATTTGACAAGCAGTTAGAGACAGCAATTCAATTAATTTCTGGTGGAAAATTGAGCCTAATTCCACAAGAAAGAAAGAGGCAGTGCCAGCCCCGTCATTCATCCAGAAGATCCAAAGACAGTTTAAAGAAGCAGGTTTGTATAGGCCGGGGCGTCCTTTCTTCAGGCAGTGGAATAATGTTGGTGCAGCCTTTCAGAAGGGGTCAAAGCCCAAGGCCATGCAGGCAGCGAAGGCAAATGAAAAATCCTTCTGAAGGTGTCTTTACCTAGTCCTCTGAAGTACGAGTGAGGTTAGCTCTTTTCAGAGAAGTCTGGGTGGAAGAAGTAGAAGATGCCTGGATTCTGGACATTGTCCGAAGAGGCTACTGTTTGGAGTTTGCACAGAGGCCTCCTCAGCCTTACTTTGTGGAATCCCATATTCCAGACTGTCCAGTAAAATGGCAGTGCTTGCAAGCATACATAAAAGAATTGTTAACGGCTCAAGCAATTCTACCAGTTCCAAGAAAAAAACAAGGGGAAGGGGTGTATTCGCCTTTATTTCTGGTTTCAAAGACTTCAGAGGTTTCAGACCCGTTTTGGACCTAAAATATCTCGACTCCTTCATTGAGAATAGGTCCTTCCAGCTTTTCCAAAAGACGCTCCAGAGGATGAATGGAAAAAACTAGACCTAGTGGTTTCTCTGACTAAATACCTGGACAAAAAGCAGGACAATCTTTTTGTCTTTCTTTGGGTCCAAAGAAAGGTTTGCCTGTTCCTCCAAGGATCATGTCCACCTGGACCATTGAATCAATACAGTTGGCTTACCGGTCTCTGGGCTTTGATGGAAGTAGTGTGCAGAACAGCTAGCTGGAACACATCTAATACCTTTATTGGCCATTAAATGGTGAATGTGACACTTCCTTCCTTGGAGGCATTTAGGTGTAAGGTCATTTTGGTGGCTGTCAATAAGTGTGTAGCACCATTTCCATG